GGACTGTATTTCACACCTCCAGGTATCAAGTATCCTGCTCCAGGTATCCTGCTCCTAGGATTCCCTAATTTTTTTCAAAGATATTACCGATCTCACACATGCCTGTTGGCTGTTCAAGACCGTACCTCTTAAAACCTTTACGCTCTCCATCTAACTCTTCCCCTGAAGCCATTCACAGTGGCGTCTTAAAAGCGTGAGATGCTTTTCAGTGGATCGTGGGACTGTCAGCCACACTGAGGAAGCCAATTTCCAAGTTATTAGTGCTACTCAGTGTGTATTCGATTCACAGAATGAATCAAATTAATATAGAATGGCTTGATTCTAACGACTAAAAGGTTTCAAACTGGATTACCTGTTACTTTGTTTTAGATAATATATCAATGAGGGAGTATAATATTTTACTGGGTCCTGGGAATGAGATATTCTTTTACCGAGTCGTGCAACACTGCCGTGAGGTTAAGTGATATTGCACCGAGTGGTGAGGCAGCAAGTTTGAAGATTGCCGCTCTTTACCACCGTCCATTCAGACAAGACTGACAGACCAGATAAATCAATCTATCTTGTTCAAGAATTTTTCTTTCTATGACCAGATTACCTTAAAAATAAGAGTCCTCCGCTCTTTAAATGATGACTTTCCTGCCACTCCACGGTCTTCTATAATCTTCACTCCTTGTTCTCTTAATTACCACAGCACACACTGCTCTCACACATTTCCACTGCCTCCTCCCACCTCATCCTCGCTGCAACATTCAAACATTCTTTACACTCGTATATACCGTCATCACTACTGTACTCTGTTATATTCTTCTTTTAGCATCCCATAACAATCGTCTCTTAATAATTAATGCTTCTACTGTTTTTTCTTCACTCTTATCAACAACCTAATTAACACAACCATCTACTGAACCAAAAGTTTCCACTACTTTATCACCTGCTTTCAACATTTCCATCTTGAGTATATTCATCGTAGATGCTTTTACCGCTGCCAACCTGATTACAGCCTCACCTCCTCCATATTCACTTTCGACTCTTTCTTCCTAACAAATCCCCTCTTTTTTTTTTTTTTTTTTTTTTAACTTTCCAATGCACGAATTTTCTCTTCCATTTCACGTTTAACAACTCAAAAGTATTTTCTCTCTAAAACTGTTTTATGAACTCGGCAAAATTTATTGATGCTCACCCATCTTCTCTTTTTTTTCAGCTATTCACTACTCATTTAACCTCTCTCTCTCTCTCTCTCTCTCTCTCTCCTCTCTCTCTCTCTTTTACTCTATATTATCTGAGTTCTTTGCCATTCTGACATTGTAAATTATTATTATTATAATCTAGGGGAAGCGCTAAACCCGGAGGATTATACAGCGCCTGGGGGGGGGGATGTAGAAGGCATTCAGGCTTAATTCGGGGAACTGGAGCACAGATCCAATTCCCTAAATCAAGAGCCCCTCACCAACATCAAGGAACCTTCCTTGAGGGGCTGACATTGTAAAAATATTCTTATATCAACTTTTCCTCCCTTACTATTTTCTCTTCACCCTCCAGTAACCACAAGACTCTGGTACTCACTCCAACACAGCAGACTCAATTAACACCACATTTCTTTTACATCTTCATCCCTTTACATCGCTTTATCAAACCTTTCTACAATTCTTCATACCTTTCACTAACCATTCCTTTCTTTACTTCAATGACTCACTTGTGTGGTGCCGCCTGACACTGCTCTCAGTGCACTCTGATTTCCTATTATCATCACTCGAAAGTGACCAGACATACCAGTTGTTCCTCTAAGAACACGAGTATCCACAAGTACAACCCTCATCCTTGTTATCCACTAAAATACACCACAAGACTGTTCACACTGCACTTCTATCTTACCTTGTAATGTTTTCATTCAGGTATCGCCTATCACCCTACCTTAATTTTGGAAAGCAAAATTCAATTAAAAACCTCCTCTAACACCTTGAACTACCAAACTTACCTACTTCACCTTCAAGAGCTTCCCCTACTTTAGCATTAAAGTCTCCAAAAATAATAACAGTTTCTTGGCTCAAAATTCCCTAACCCCTCCCACAGCCTCCCACCTCTCAAATCTCGTTTTACTCTAATTCACATTTTAGCCCCCTTATCCTCATTATTTAATTCAACATCACCATTGCTGCCGCTACTTTGTCTTCTCATAAACACCCAATTTAATAGCTGCCCCCGTACTTATTCTAAATGGAAAAAAACTGCTAACCAACTTTCTTTTTTCTATACGAATTTTAATCACTTTCTCCAATATTCATGGCTATGAATCCTTACCCAATGACTCAAACAAATTAGTATATACAAATTATTCCGTGATAAGGTATCAAAAAGCAAAAATGTGGAGATAAGTGTATAGCGAATGCAAGAGATTTACCTGCCATCTGAAATATTGAGTCCGTGAGACAATATAATAATAATAATAATAATAATAATAATAATAATAATAATAATAATATGTATGATGGTAATTTAAAATTACTTTCACTATTCTAAGTATTTTTCGTGATAGTTATTGCTGGCTGATGTTATGCAGGAATTTAAGGAACATGAGGAAAATAATTGATGGGGTTATAGAGGTTGAGCTGTGACTGGAGGTGCAGCTGTGACTGGAGGTGCAGCTGTGACTGGAGGTGCAGCTGTGAGTGGAGGCGCAACCTTCCTCCTGTTCCAGCCCCGAGAAAACTTTCACCAAATTTATTACCTAAGTTGAATGCAATGTCTATCATTGTGGTTTAACAGCGGGGCCCACTTTAAGAGGGAATATTTCAATGAGCATCTACGTATTTTCCCCTGAGAACTCGTGTTTTTCCCACTGAGGACCCATGTATTTCCACTGAAGATCCACGTTATTTCCACTGCAGATCATGTATTCAACGTGAATTCCTCCCAGTTTCTCTCATTACATCACTAAAGAACTATTTAGCTTTGGATGGTACGTGCAGTACTGCGCAGCAGCACAACACGTGACCACAAGATGTTTTGCACAAGACCCGGCACCAGCTGTGTCACGGGACAAGAATATCTTAAGGACACTGTTGCATGTTTTATGGTGATTTGCTAAGCGGAAGATTTCCAGGGCTTTACTTAACTTGGGGTTTTGGGGATAACGTGGTAGCGAGTGAGTAGTAGAGCAAAGAGATAGATAGGCGAGAAGAGATAGATAGTAAGTAGAGACAGTATTGGGATGGTGGTAGTGGGTTGAAATTAGATAGGGAAAGTACTAGTGATACCCTCAATGTGTTTATCAAGACGGTGTCTAGGGTCATCCAGTGACGATGAACAGAGCAACCCTTTAACTGAAGGGCACAAAGAATGGTCAGAAAGAAGGGTCCCCAGAAAGGCAGTTCTCAGAAAGGAAGGTCACCCAGAAACTAAGGTCACTGAGAAGGAATGTCACCAAGTTTAATGATTTCCCTTGAAAAGGCACTTCTCATCTGTCTCACACCACTTCACGACGCTGCACGCCAGGGTGCTTTCAGCCTCCCTTAGAAGATTGAAGGACTGGCATACTTTCAGAATTCTTTCACCAGACTGAACACTGACGTATCTTTAGATCCTTCCTCACCAGGCTGTCCACTGGCATACTTTCAGACCTCCTCACCGGGCTGAACACCAGGCTCGCACACCCCACCAATCATCTGTCACCTACATACTCCCCTGCACCAAAAATTTGTTTTCTTTTTTCTCGAGTCTGGTCATCTCAGATATTTTTACACGCCTCTAAATGTCTCAGCCACACTGATATAAATCACTGGCTTTGCTAAGAGCTGTGACTTTTAAATATATAAGCCATAACACTTCAGAGTGTTTGCCCAGCTCGGCTGAGTAAACTCGGCACCTTCAAGCTAAAAAATCCAACAGCGTTTTCTAACTAGCAGCACATTAATGGTTTTAAAGCAGTTATAGCAGATTTAATTCTAATCTTCGTGTTTGGTTTCGTGGCAGCGCGCTGTTAATGGCTGAGGAAGGAAGGAAGCAAGACATAAGAATATAACATCAAAGAAACATGACATAACAAAATCAAAGAAACCTGACATAACATCAAAGAAACAAGACATGATATCAAAGAATCAAGACATGATATCAAAGAATCAAGACATAACATCAAAGAAACAAGACATGACATCAAAGAAACAAGACATGATATCAAACAAGAATCAAAAAAACAAAACATCAAAGAACAAGACATGACATCAAGAATAAGGCAAAGATATCAAAGGATCAAGACACGACATCGAAAAAAAAACAAAAATAAGAAAACAGGCCAAAAAAAACATCACATCAAAGAATCAAGACATAAGAATGAAGAAACGAAATATAACAAGAAGACATAACAATTAAGAAAGAAGACATAATTAAAAAAGAAGACATAATGAAGACAAAAATGAAGAAAGACATAATTAAGAAAAAAAACAAGATCAAAGAAAGGAAACATAACATCATAGAAAACAAGACAAAATGGCATAAATAATTAAAGTGAAGCACTTCAGTAGGTCTACTGGCCCTGGCTAGGCAGATCTAACTCGCACCCAACACCTAGTAATATTTCCAGTAAGATTACAGCTGGTGACTCACACTAACAAGTATGTGAGAGAGACCTGCGGTGTTAAGGTATTACAGAGCCTTTCATTGGGTTAAGAAAGTCTCTGATGGGCGAAACGTCTCAATAATGTGCTCTAATACAGCGTATGTCTCTTTCTTGTCTAGAAATCCTCTTAGAAAAGTCTCTGCTCTACAGACGGTATAGCGGTCCCCTCTTTCACAAATCACCAGATTCTCAAACGGATCGTAATTTCCTAATTTACACACACACACACACACACACCTATTTAACCAGCGTGGGAAAACACGAGAGCTGAACACAAGCATCGTCACGATCCACCAACACCGAACTGCTTGAGGGGAAAAAGGCAGAAGTGGCCCCCCTAGTACCCCCTCCACGGACCACAGGGAGTATTCACTGAGGAAAAACCTACCTTCACTGGCACGGAAATAATGTATTTTTCAAACTTGGGGTGCTTACTATTTTCTTACCACCACCGTATTTTTTCTTGTAGGTGTTTATTTGGTGTTTATTTTTCAGGTGTGTTTGAGAGGGTAAGGGGTGAGGGGTGCCAGGAGGTTTAGTGCCTGCGAGGGCCACTACGTCGCTCCACCACGTCCAAATTGGCACTGGGCACAAGCGGCACACATCACCACCCCTACCACCACCAATCAAGCCCACATACGCACGCACATCCGCCCATACACACACACACGCCCATACACACACACAACACACACACGCCCATGCACACACACGCCCATGCATACACCCCATACAAAGTCACACACCCACCCATACCAAGTCACATACCCACCCATACATACACAAAACACCCATACATACATACACATACACACTCATCGGTGTTGCATCTCAGGGTTAACCAATGATGAAAATTCTCATGAACGTTGTGGCAGTTTGGTAACAGTGATACAGTGTAACAACGATGCAGTGTAGTAACAGTGATACAATGTAAGAATGTAAGAACATAAGAATGGAGGAACACTGTAGGCCTACTGGCCCATACAAGGCAGGTCCTTAACATAAGACGTGTACTTAGCTCAGTGGTGACGTGTACTTAGCTCTGTGAAGACCTGTTTGCGAGCTCTCTACAAATTGAAGATGCCCTCCATCGAGCAACTTTACCAACAGCTTAAGGAAGAATTGAGGATGGCGAAGATGGAGATTCGGCGACTGACCGAGGAAAACAAGAAGATTCGTAGTAGTCCTCCTGTTTTGAGTCCTCAGGTCAAGAAAGGAAACTGGGCAGTGGCTGGACAGCAGGGAACGAAGTTGACGATCAAGAAGACGAATGGAAAGGTAGAAACGATGAAGAAGAAAGAGACTGCCGTGGAAACTGTTGTGGAAACCTTTAATACATTCTCAGTGCTACCCAACGAATGTGAGTCGACTACTGGGAACGTCACGACGATCGACACCAAAGAAGGTAAGAATATTGTTGTTGTTGGGGATAGCCAAGTTAGGTATATGGATAGGGCGTTCTGCTTGAAGGACAGGAGTAGGAGACAGAGTTTGCTTTCCTGGGGCTGGGATGGAGGATATTGTTAGCCGTCTGGATGACATGAGAGGTAATGGGAGCAATCCTATTATCTGTCTCAGTGCTGGTGGCAACGATGTTGGCAGACGTAGGAGTGAAGACCTGATTAGCAGGTATAAGTCAGCAATAGAAATAATTAGGAGGAAGGGTGGGAACCCTGTCATATGTGGTATTTTGCCAAGGAGAGGAGTTGGAAATGAATGGTTGTCCAGGGCAATTGGTGTCAATTGCTGGCTGGACAAATACTGTAAGGAAAATGCGGTAACATTCATTGACAACTGGGACCTCTTCTATGGCAGAAATGACATGTATGCCAGGGATGGGGTTCACTTATGTAGGTCTGGGGTGGGAGCATTGGCAACTGCAGTGGAGGGAGCTGTTAGGTCTTTAAACTAGGAATAGTTAGTGGTATGGGTTTTGGCGGGAAAACAGTCAAGTCGCAGTGTAGTAATGTGAGTACTAGGAGAACTAGTAATAGGCAAAATGAGGTAGATATTGGAAAGCCAGTGGCACAAATTGACAAGGACAGTAATAGGTTTAGTGGAATAACAGAAGGAGCAGGAAGGGTAAAGAGAGAGGAGGGTCTTTAAATATATATTACACGAATAGTCGCAGTGCTAGTGAAGAATAAAGGGACGAGTTGAGACTAGTTGCTAGTGCAGGTAACATTGATGTATTTGCCTTAACGGAAACGTGGTTTAATTCAAAAAGTCGGGACATGCCTGCGGAATGTCACATTCAGGGTTTTAGAGTGTTCCAAGTAGATAGAAGTATCGGAAGGGGGGTGGGGTGGCATTGTATGTCCGAGATCGCTTGAACTGTTGCATTTAAAAAAGGGTATAAGTCTGAAGTAACACAGAGTCTGTTTGGATAGTTTTTTCAGTGGGGCATGAATAATAATTCTAGGTGTGATTATAACCGTCCCCCAAATTTAGATAGGGACAGGGGAGTCTACATGGAGGAAAATTGTAGGGCCACAAGGCACGTTAATGTCGTATTCTAGGGACTAACTTTAGTTTATTGATTGGAATATCTAGACTGGGAATTTAGAATATACGATTTTAGAAGTAGTTCAGGATTGTTTTTTTGAAGACAGGTTTGTGACAGAACCTACAAGGGGTAATAACTGCTGACTTAGTTCTGGAACAATGGAATCTTTGTTTATAATTTAGAAGTTTCAGAGGGACTGGGTGCTAGCGACCACAAATCAAATTCCATTTAGCATTGAATGGGAAGTATGGATAGTAGGATAACTCAGTAAACAGTCCCCGATTTTCGCTTAGCAGATTACGGGATAGGTTAGAGAAACACATCTGTTGAATGGGTAGGTAACGAAGAGAGCTATCATATGACAGTTTTTGTGAGAACCACTATACATGAGGCGCAAAGAACGTTGATTCCGTATAAAGAAAATTAGATCAAATAGTAGTGTCCAAAATGGAATGAATATTAGGCTGAAATATCTAACTAGGGATAAGAAAGGAATTTATAGGCGTATCAAAAGAGGGTGAGTGTCATCTTATGAATCAGTATATTGCATTAAGAGGGACATTAAAAAGGGGATAAGAAAAGCTATAAAAAGGGGGACTATGAAATTAAGTTTGCTAGGATTCTAAAATAACACCAAGAAAGTTTTTTCAGGTATATAGAACAAAAGTCAGAGATAAGATAGGTCCCTTAAAATAATATGGCATCTATAGTGACAAAGAGATGAAATGTGCTCGATTTTAAATAATTATTTTCTTCGGTGTTTACGCAGGAAGACACTATAATAACATTACAGTAATTAATTCTATAGTGGGCAAGGAAGATAAATTAAGTAACATCACATTCATAGTGAAATGGTTGTGAAGAGATAGACCGACTGAAGCAAAATAAGTCACGGGTTATGATGAGTTTTTTTGAAGGGTTCTTAATGAATACAAAATGGAACGCTGTGAACCATTAACTAATATTTTTAATTTTATCTCTTCAAACAGGGTAGTAGTCGGATATGTGGAGAAGATGGCTAATGTTAATTCCTAATTTTTAAAACGGGACAAGTCGTTACTGTCAAATACCGCCCAATAAGCCTGACCTCAATTGTAGGCAATTACTAGAGTCATTAAGCTGAGATTAATAAGAAGCATCTCGAGAAGCATAGCTGATTAATGATATCTGCATGGATTCACAAGAGGGCCGGTCTTGTTCTAAAATTAATTTATTAACTTTTCTTCAGTAAAGCTTTGAGGGATGTTGGCCAAGATAAAGAATTTGATATATTTACTTAGATTTTATTAAGGCTTTTGATTAGAGTTTCCGAACCAAGACTGTTAAGAAAGTGGCAGTCATGGCATTTGGGGAAAAAAGTTGCTCTCGTGGTCGAGTCATGGGCACAGACGGAAGCAAAGAGTTGTCCATAAATGGGGGGTTAAATCCGGTGGGATTTGTACAAGTGGCGTTCCACAGGGATCAGTCGTGGGCCGTGTGTTTTAATTATATATCAATGATATTGATGAGGGTGTTATAGTGATATGAGGCTATTCGCGATTGACACAAAGATAGGTAGGATAATTGATTCAAACGTTAGATGTTAGGGAACTTCTGGAGGATTTAGTACAACTTACTCTTGTCAGAAAAGTGGCAGTGCAGTTCAATGTAGATAAATGCAAGGATCTGAAGCTCGGGATGTGTCATAAAACCCTAGCACTTATAAGGTCAAATAAGTAGAAACTTAGCCCTACAGATTGCCGAAAAGGACTTGGGGGTTATGGTGAGCAGCAACCTTTATCCAGACAGCAATGCCTAAGCGTACGTAATAGGCAAATAGATTACTGGGATTTATATCAAGAAGTGTAAGCAAAGAAGTCAAGAGGTTATACTGCAGCTTTATACATCATTGTAAGGCATCACTAGATTATGGCAGCTCAATTCTGGTCTCCATATTACAGAATGGCATAAATGCGTTAGAAAACTCTGCGTAGGATGACTAAATTAATTACATAGAATTAGAAATCTTCCTTATGAAGAAAGATTGAAAGAACTCTTAAAGTTACATTCACTTGTAGACGAAGAATGTAGGGGGACCTGATTGAAGTGTATAAGTGGAAGATAGGTTATTTACAAAGGGGATATTAAAAGGTCTTGAGGATATCTCTCCAAGAGAGAACCTCAGTAATGGATTTAAAATAGATAAGTTTTAGATTTAGAAAGGACATAGGAAAGTAAATATTGGTTTGGAAATAGGGTTAGTGATGCGTGGACAGTCTAACCTTGTTGGTTATTGAGGATAGACTTTGGGTAGTTTTCAAATTTAAGAAACATAAGAACATAAGAAAAGAGGAAACACTGCAGCAGGCTGGTGGCCCCTACTAGCAATGTCCTTTACAATTCATCCACTAACAAACATTTGCCCAACCCAATTTGCAATGCTACCCTAGAAATAAGGCTCTAAGAACATAAGAAAATAAGGTTGGATAAGTACTGAGTGGGACTTGACACATCGAGCTTATTTCTTGGGTAGCCATTGAAAATTGGGTTGGTCAAATGTTGTTAGTGGGATGAATTGTAAAGGACTGCCTAGTATGGGCCACAGGCCTGCTGCAGTGTCATCCTTCTTATGGTTCTTATGTTCATACCCTTGAGCTGCCACTTTCTTTAAACGGTTCTTTGGTGTGGGACTCTATCCAAAAGCCTTACTAAATCTAAGTAAATAATATCAAAGTATTTATCTTGGTCAACAGCCTCAAAGCTTTACTGAAGAAAGTAAATAAAATAGTTAGACAAGAACGGCTCTCGTGAATCATGTCGTGCTGAAATCATTAATAAGCTATGCTTATCGAGATGGCTTCTTATAATCTCAGCTATAATTGACACTAGTAATTTGCATATAATTGAGGTCAGGCTTATTGGGCGGTAATTTGACGATAACGACTTGTCCCCGGTTTAATAGGAAATACATTAGCCATTTTCTCATATCGCCAAATACACCTGTTTGATGAGATAAAGTAAAATATTAGTTAATGGTTCACAGATTTCATTTTGCTTCCTTAGAACCCTTGAAAAACCTCATCAGGACCGGCGACTTATTTTGCTTCAGTC